AGTGTTTCTTTCACGTGGCTTCTGTTACTTGGTGGTTGCTGAGCCCTGAGCCTGTTGATTTCTGTTTTTGCTCTGAGACAAGCAGGGAGCCCTCTGCAGGGCACTTGTTCTCTTTCCCCTCCTTGCCAGGAGGCAGCTGTGCCCTGTGCCCACCCCTTTCCTTCCTGGGAGCCTTTATTGCAACTCACCTCCCTCCTTGCACTGGAGCAGGGCACTCCAAGACCCCTCAGGGAGCACCCATCCCACCATATGCACTCAGCCCCACAGAACTCAGTCTTCCTGGGAGCTGACCCGTGCCCACCCTCTCAATATTTTAAGATAATCCTTCATGCATGAAAATAATATCTTTTGTAGAGGTGAGGCAAATTTGAGAAATCCCATGCCTTGTTCTTGCCCTGGCCTGGGAGGTACAAGGGGAGGGGTCCTCAGTCATCCCTCCCACCTTCATCCCTCTGTGGGGATTGCCCCTACTGGCCTCAGAGCTGGTCCTGGCCTGGGATGGGGAGGCATGGGGGCTGCCTGGCCTTTCAGGCTCCAGGGGACCCAGTGATCCAGGAGACCTGATTCTAGGTCTGACACTGCTGCTACTCCAGCGTGTGACCCCGGGCAAGCTCCTTCCCCTTTCTGGGCCTGGGTCTTCCCATCTCTCCAATGGGACTGCTACTATCTCCTCAACCCCCTACATGGGCTTTCAGGAGAACAAAGTGACTTTAATCTGGTAAGAATATATACACCTAGAGTTATTTAGGGGTTTCTTTTCTAAAAAGTCAGAGAGGGTGTTAGTGATTTCTAACCCTTCTGCCCTGAAATGCCTCCTTGGGGCAAGAGTTGTCTGCCTTCCCTATAGGAGGCTGGGTGTAAAGAATGTAATTCATGGTTTTTCTATTAAATTATTTTCTAAATTTGTTCTTCTCTTCTTGACCTGGGAAAAACTGGAGGTATAGCTCCTGTTCACAGGCTGGGACTAGAGGAGCCGCAGGAAAAGCTGGGTGACATGAGGGAGGGCTGGGGAGGCCCCAGGGTGGGGGAGTGAGAGCCAAATCTGCCTCCTGCCCTTAGCCCCTGGGAGACTTGGGAGAGTCAGGTGGACCAGCCACCAGTCCTCCCACCACCCAGGAGACCAGCACAGGCCTGGGAGCCCAGGCAAGGCCCTTCCTCTCTGCACGTGGAGGAGGGCTCAGTGGCAAGAGTGCAGTCCTGTTACCCTCTGTGCTCTGCACTGCACACTCCCTCACCCCAGTTGCTACCCGCTCTTACCCTGGGCCAGTGAGTGGGCAGTGAGCTAGATCGGGGAAAGGGCATCCTCTAGGGTATCCTGTGTTCATGCTCAGCTCCCCAGACCCCCCAAGTTGGGGTGGTTTCCAGCAGCCCTCACCCCAGCCACTGATGGGGTCTTGGCCTGAATGGCACTCAGGAGCATCTTTGGGGACTTAGGGGAAGGGGGGCTCACCCCCTGGACAGCCACCAAGGCTGCTCAGCCTTCCGTGCAGACCTTAAAGGGCTGCTGTACAGGGAAGGAAACGTTAGGAGGGACCTAATTTCCCTGAAGCCTGATTGTTGGGAGGCAGTGTAGAGCTGTGGCCCAGAGGGCAGGAGGCATAGCTAAAATTCTGGCCTTGCCATTTGGCCCTGAAGCTTGGGACCCATTGATTAGCCTGTTTCTCAGTAAAATGAGGATGAAGATAAATGACCCGTGGAAATGTTAAGGATTAAATGAGTCACCGTACATGAGCCTGGCACACAGAATTCAATAAATGTTATTTTCAGATGGGGAACGGGCTGGACGAAAAAGCCTCAGTGAGTAAAATGAGGGGAAGGAAGGAGGAGAATGAATGGACCCAGCTGGGTGGGTGAGTGGGAGTGAGCAGGACAGGGTTTGTGAAAGACTAATTGAATAGAAGGATGATGGGATGAAAGGTTGGCCCCTTAGACCCCAGTTGTTTGTTTGTAATGTCTGCATTGGCTGGCTGAGAACAGGGGCCTGGTATTATGATACATGTGGATGTGGAGAGGAGTGGGCCCCCACGGGGGGCACTGGGTACAGGAAAGGCCTGGGAGGCTGAGGCCGGTGGAGGAGGCCCTGGGGAAGGGCCCTTCCCGGGCAAGACATTTAGATGTGTCTAAGCCACCTGCCAAGGAGGGAGGCAGCCCAGCCAGAGGAGGTGGGGCTCCCTAGGGCTTTCTTTGAATGACAGAGGCCTATGGGAAATATGCTAATCTGCCTTTTTAATAATATGTTTTTTCTCCTAGGAGCGAGAGTTGTTTCTGTCTCTCACCTTTAAAACCTTGAAAGTGCCCAAGTAATGTTTGTGATGTATCTGTGGTTCTTGACTACCAGGTAGAACTAGGTCTGTAAAAAAAAAAAAAAAAAAGAAGAAAGTGCCCAAGGCAGGGCAGGCCCCCTCCACCCCCTGCTGCCCACCACCCCCAGCATCTGGGCGCTCACTCTGCCCTGTCCTACCTCCACTAAGTCCCCCAAGCCCAGCCCACCCCCAAGGGACCAACCCTGGGAGAAGAGCAGGGGAAGGAAGCGGGAGGTGGGGGAGGCCAGCAGAGCCTGGGGACCCCTCAGCCTGCCCTCGGTGCCCATCTCTGCCTGAGCCCCAGAAGCAGCTCCTTCTGCCCCAGAGCCTCCACTACCCAACCCCCACCCCGATTCCAGGGACTTGCAGACAGGTCAGAGCTGCTCAGGGTTCTCAGGCTGTGAGGAAGGAACCTGCCGCTCCCTAACCCCAGGCCCCAGCCAGCTCACTGTGTTTCCTGCCTCTTTCGCTCTTGGTCCTGCAAACCACTGAGGGGAAAGGGGTCTGTCCAATCCCATTAGGCAGAAGGCCCCGAGGGTGGAGTGCTGACGTGAGCCTGCAAACCACTGAGGGGAAAGGGGTCTGTCCAATCCCATTAGGCAGAAGGCCCCGAGGGTGGAGTGCTGACGTGAGCCTTGCTGCTGACGCTGCCAAGGAGGCCCATGCCCGCCCCCCACACACAGCCTGGGGCCGGGACTTGGTCTCCTCCAGCTCCAGGAAGATCAGGAGGGGTTTTTGTCCAGTGACTACCCCGGGAGGCAGCCTAGGAGCAGCTCAGACCCCTTCCCCTGGGATGCTCAAGAGAGAAGGCCCAGCGTGACAGCCTGAGCAGCAGTGCCCAGCTCCTGGGCCTGCGTCCTTCCCTGCCTCCACCCTCCTAACTCCTCGCCCTCTCTTCTCCACCTGTCCCTCCCCACATTACCTACTGCACAGGTTTTATGTTCCTTGTTCTTATTTTACAAAGGAGGCCTAACAGAAGCTTCGCCCTTGAAACCAAACCCTCAGCTCTTCCACCTGTAAATCTTGGCTGGCTTCTCCACAGGCTGGTGTCAAGTGGGGGCACCAGGGTCAGCCTGTAGCACCTTGTTCCTCTCAGTCCCCTGGGATGACCTGCTTGTGGACCCTCCTGGTTGGTCTCCTGGATACCCCACACACACACACACACACCAGTGAGCAGGATGAGAGGATGAGATTTGGACTCTTCACTTTTTTTTAAAGAATGGGTTACCATTTACTGATATGGTCCATCATGTGCCAAGGGCTTTACAAATGGTCACCTTTTGAAACAGGTATTATTATTGGGTGGGGTGGGGCTCTTAATTTCACAGGGGGGAAAACAGGTTCAGAGAAGGAAAGGGACCTGCTCAAAGTCACACAGCAGTGCCTGGGCTGGAACACAGTTGCCCTGCCTTCTTTTTGTTACACCTTCCATTTCCAAGGTGTGGAGGGGGATATAGACACAGGTGCCAGAGACAGCTGTGGTTGAGCCTCAGCCCCCTCCTACAGTCTCAGGTAGTGACCCAGCCTTCCTGAGGTGCCGCCCATCCAGATGGCTGCCCCAGCCTCCTCAAAGCCCACAGTTATTTCATCTGGCCACAGGCTGAACCTGGTGCTCAGTCAGTGCGGGGACCCCGCCCCAGCCCAGGGCCCTGAGAGGGCAGAGCTTGAATATCTCATAGGAGCTGGCACTCCTGTGAAGCTGTGGGTGGGAGGTAGAGGACACCCCTCCAAGGGCAGGGTTAGGGGCCTGTGAAACCCAAGACTCCTGGAGGTCAGTAAGAAGTGGGAGAATAGGCAGGTCATCTGGAATTTTTATTTCTCACTGAGCTGAGAGGAAATCCAGCTATGGAATCCAGAGAGAGTTCTACAGGAACAGAACAGAAATTGGCTGGGCCCTGGGCCCAGAGAAGGCCCGAGCCACCTGGGCTGCTGTTCAGTGCCAGCTTCATCCTTGGCACTAGGCCCCTCACACAGCATCACTCAGCTTCCAAGGGCCAGAGCCCACAGTGGCAGCCGCTTGAGACTATGGCTGCAGCTGCTGCCCTACCCAACGATGGGTGTGGGGTTGACTCTTAGGGGCCAGGGAGGCCAAGCTAGAAAGTCTTAGAAATCACCCAGTCCATTCCCATTTTATAGATGATGAAATAAGGCCCAGAAAGGGCACTGGGTTTTAAGGAGAATAAATGTGGAGACTTGAACTCAGGCCTCCTGACTGCTGAGGGTGTCTGCTTCAAGCCCCTCTCTAAGCGCATCTGAATGTCGGTGTCTAGAGGAGCTAGGCACCCAGGGGAGCTGGCCTGTGTTTGTGTTTGCGTGTGCCAGGATGCATCTGCGGCATATCCCTCTGCACATGCCAGGGTCTCTGTGTCCCTCTGTGTGTCCTTCTATGTGTGCTTCTATGTTCAGGAACTTGGGGCCATGACCAGAGAGGGTCGGGCCTATTCTTACAATCTTGGGAGGCCTTCCCAGGCTGAGTAGGGAGGGTGGGTCCTGAGGGGTTGGGTGAGGAATGGGGACTTTGGTCCCACTGGAGAGGGAGAAAGCAGAAGGCAGATTGGAGCCATGGATGAGAAGGGTCCTGGGGCACGGAAACAAGGCCAAGATGGGATATGGGTCTCTGGAATTTGAGGCGTGCTGTTAGCACTTATGTGGGGCCAGCCCTCTGGTCACCCCAGTGGGCAAACCCAGAGGAGGTAGTCACATGATGTGGCACTTCTCCGCGGATTGCTTGAGGTCCCCCAGTGTGGTCTGGGCCTTGTCCTTAAGTGAGCCAAGGTCCAAGCCAGGGAGACTGGGCAGCTGCCCAAGGACCGAGGCCCTTTCCTCCTCCTCCTCTGTGTCCTCCTCAATCATCTTGGCCAGCTCCCGGGGCAGCTCCACGTCTCCACCTGCCATCTGGATCTGGCTCTCATCTGTCTCGTTCTGAAGGGAAGAGGAAAAGGGGTGGGGTGGGGTTGGAGGTCTGTGAGAACCCCGAGTTGAGTGGCAGGGAGGAGGCCTGGACTGGGTTCCAGGCCCCAAGATTCTGGAGCTCCACGTTCCAGTGAGCTCAGTCCCCCTCCCCCATCCCAGGATCAAGCTTTTGACGCTTGGATATGGAGACCTTGCACTTTTACACCACCTTACTTCACTCTGAGATGCTGAAGGTAAGACACTGGCATAGTGAGCAATGACAGCATGAAAATCCTTCAGAGTCAGACTGAGTCAGCTAAGTCGTGTGTTGACCATCATGAACTACACCGAAGACGTCACCAATCACAGTGATGGGTTCCGTTCACCGAACACCTATCCTGTGGCTGGCACTGAGCTGAGTGCTTTTAATTCTCACAACAACCCTGTGAGGTAGGTATTGTTTTCTCCATTTTACAAAAAAGGAAATTGAGGCTCAGATAACTTAAGTAACTTGCCCAAGGTCACACCACTAGGAAGTGAGGGAGCTAGATTTAAACCTATGTCCCTGATTCCAACATCTGTGCTCTCCTTGCACAGCACCTGCCTACTGATTGTCATTGCACTTCCCTGTCCCTTTGGGGGCCCTGGGGCTTTCCACTTTATGTCCTACTCAGTAACAGCCAGGTCTGCTCTCTCCTACTGGACTCAGTGTTCCCCGATGGCAGAGTTGTGTCTCTTATATGCTTAGTGCGAGCATTGGAGGAATGACTCCATTCCTAGCTGAATTTAACTCTCCCTTTGAGAGATTTTCAAAAGACTAGTGTGCTGTGGGGAGTCAGAGGCAGCCACGGGCTCAGTGAACATTTGTTAAGTGAGTGAATGTGACGTTCACATATCCGATCTTCCAATTCAAGTGGTAGATCAAGGTCAGGTGTACCGTAGCCTGTGCTTCTGTTTCTCTTCAGAGTCTAGCACAATTCTGGGCACTGGGAGTGGCTTGTGCCTCAGTTCCCTCCTTAGGCAACAGGAGTAGAACACTTACACGGTCATCTGATGCTGCAGTACCTAGGGGAGACATCCTCCTGGCTGCTTGGCCAACCAAAGGGGTTCCTTTGCTCTCTGCAGACAGACTTCATACTCTGGAAGGCAGCAAGGGGTCCAGGAGCACGTGCAGGCTCAGCATGCAGAGGCTTGATCTCTGATCCTGGTTCCATCACTCGCTGGCTGTATGGCCTTAACCAAGTCCCTTAATCTCTCTGAGCCTCAGTTTCCTTATTTGTAGGTGTGGGTAGTAGCTACCTGGCAGAGTCACTGAGGGGTTAGGTAAGGGTGTGAAGGTCAAGTGCCTGACCCACAGAAGGTGCTGCCTTTTTTCCACCCACCTCCCTCCCTGGGTGTTCAGAAGCCCCAAGAGATTTTACCACAGGTAAAATCTACTGCCTTCCAACTCTCCATCTGCCTAGGCCTGACTCTGGGTTGGGTGAGTGGGGGTTGGAGGAGAGAAGGGGCCTGGACTGGCTCCAGAAACACAAACCTATCAGTCCCCCGAGGACTGGACTACCCCTCAGCGCCAAGCCCTGGCCCTTGGCGGGCTCCAGTTAACGGTGAATGAATGAACGAGTGAGAGAACCCATGATTTAATCAAACACTCCCTGAGAGCTGCGGCGCCGGGAGCGGGGCAAAGGAGTCCGGAGCCCAGAGCTCAGGGGTCCCGGTGGTGCCTTACAGCCCGGGCTCTTAAGCTTACCTTGGGCAGCCGGTATTTGTCTCGGAAGTGGCTCCGCAGCGTGGCCCGCTCTGCCTTCCTCTGAGTGAACTGCGCGTCCCGCTCCATCCTGTGGGGGCACCGGGGGCGGAATCATTGCCCGGGCTGAGAAAATGGGCGGGGTCTGCGAGGAAGGGGCGGGAAGGGTCTCTGGGTCCTGGCCGCAGTTTGCATCCCTCCTGCCCGAGGGCCTGTATTTTGGGTGCTCGGTGCTCTGACCAGCCGGGATTAATCTTTACTGCCTCTCCCAGCTATCACAGAGCCCTTTATCGCCTCCCTACCCGTCGCTGGACGGGAGCTATCGGGGCGGGGGTGTCTGTCTGGCTGTCTCTGCGGACCCTAACATATGTCCCTCGCGGTCTCCGACTCAGTCTTTTCCTTTCCTGACAGGTTGTGTCGTGTGGGGCGAAATATTCAGGACAGACATGGGTTCGAGTCCTGAATCCACTACCACTTTATGTCTTTGAGTAAGTCACTTACCTTCCTCTTTCGTAAAATGGGGATAAGACTTTGCAACTCACAAAACTGTTATCACGATTAAGTGAAATAATAGCTAACATTTAATGATTTGCCATGTTGCAGGCGCTCCGCTAAGCAGTTTATGTGCATTAAGTAATTTAACCCTCATAAATACATAAGGCATGTTTTATTACCATTGCCATTTTACAGAATAAGAAACCGAGGCACAGAAAGGTTAAGTAACTTGCCTAGGGTCACCCAGATAAAAAGAAACGAAGCCAGGATCTGACCCAAACAGCTTAGCTGTGGATTGCAGCCCCTAACGCCACCCCAGCTCCCTCTCTGTCCCAGCGTCGTCCTCACACAAGTAGCCTCAATTATCTATGAGTGCCCCCATCTCAGGATCTGTCTCCATGACTGATTCCGCCTCAGCTGCACCGCTTTTCTCAGAGCCTCAGGCTCAGAGGAGCTCCAGCTGGAAGACACAGAAGGCTGGGACCAGATCGGATTAAGGGATTACTTCTTTCGTCAGAAACAAGTAATGCACGTGCCCTCACCTTGTCCCAGGCCCCTATTTCCCCGTCCCCCACTCCTTCTGGGCCCGAATGTGGAGCGGGGTTCTGGGTTTGAGATGGGATGGCTCTGGGGGCAGCCTAGAGGGCGCATCCCAGCCTCTCACCTCGTCTAGAAAAGTAGGGGAGGGGCTCGGGGTCTGAGACTGCCCTAAGGGTGGGCCGCGCGGCCCTTGGGGGGTGGGGAGGACTGCTGGAGCCAGGAAGGGATCCCACTCACTTCTCTTCCACCAGTTGCTTCTGGTACTCCTCATACTCCTCTCGGCTCATGCCCTGCGCTTCGGCGGCCGACTTGTCCCCGTCCCCCTTGTCCTCGCCGCCCCCCAGGCTCCCAGTAAGGTTCTTCAGCTGGCCGCCCACCATGGTCTTCACCATGAACGCCATGGTCTTCCCTGGCCCGGGCACCGGGCGCCGGGTACCACGCGGCGGGCACCCAAGCACGTCCGCGCCTACTTCAGCACTAGGGCTTACGGACAGCTCCTGCCTGCGGCAGGAGCCCCACGCTCTGCACCGCCCACCGCCCGTCCCTGTCCGGGCCCGCCTCCACCTCCCCAAACCCCTCCTCACAGGGGGCGGGGGGCATGCACGGGGCTGAGGAGGCGGGACCACGTGCTCGCTCCTCACACCCGCCTCCCCCACGTGCCTCCTTCAATGCCAAGCTCCTCTGGGCACTGCTGCCAACGGATTGGGGCCGGCCGCGAGGGGTTCGGAGAGGGGGTCGCTCCCCAGGGGAACGAGCTGTGCTGTTATGCGCCCAGTACACAGCTCCCTATTCTCCCGCCCACTTCCTCCTTCCCCGGGTAGCCAGGATTTCAGCTGGGAATGCGAGTAGCCCTGGTCCCTCCCCAACCTTCTTTCCAACCCACTGCCCCAGCAGCTGCCCAGAGAGCTTGACACTGGGAAAGGGAGGGAGATCAGAGAGCAGGGAATACCAATTATGGCTCCATGGGTTGCCTCTCAGAGCTCTGGGTCACACGCCTGCCCTGCTGACCCCTGGAGCTACAGGGAGCATCGAGAGAGAGTTGTTCATGGTGATGCTGCCTGGGCTGGACCAGGAGGCACCACTCCTTGTTCTGGCTGAATCTGGGGACAGAATTATACACAGCTGTGACCCCATCTCCCACCATAGCCCAGGGTTCAAGTCCTGTGGGGTATCTGGTCTTTTGTCAGTCAAGCCAGCCCTTGGCCTCCTTGCCTGCTTGGAGCCCACTCTCAGCTACCGTCTAGAAGAGGTTGCCTTCAGAGAGATTAAGGTGAAGCTGGAAGGTAAATGAGCATATCAAAGCATGAGGAGAGGGAAATCACCTTTAATAAGGTTGGAGCTCCCCAAAAGCTAAGGTGTGGGTAAGAGCTGGGTACCCAGAGGCAGAGGACACTGGCCAAGCTCTCCACCTCCCAGACATAGAGTGACTTCCTAGTGATGAGAAGTGGACATTTCTTCAGGGCGTTGAGGTAGGTCACCCATGTATGCTGGGGGAGAGGGGCTGCCTCTCCCAGGGTCCTAGGGACTTGTGGTGCAGGACTCAAAGGAAGGCTGCCTGTGGACAAATAGTCCTGAATGTTCTTGTCCAGCTCCTGCTTGCTGCCAGGGAGAGAAGTTTACTTGGGCTTCTCCCTTCTGGGCTCTTGAGACCAGTCTCCTTATATTTACTACACCCACCTCCCTACACTCACTGCACCATAGCACTCCCTGCTCTGGGGCCTTCTATAGCTCCCTTGGCCTGCTCCATCAGTACCACACTTTCCTCCTGGCACTCAAGGTCTGTCCAGGTGGTTCCAGCCTTATGGCCACCATTGCACTCATATATAACACATAAGCCTGTCATCATTTCCACCTCATACCTTTGCTGTTCTCCACATCTGCCGGCCATCCCCTCTCCCACTGTGCTTTTAAAACAGCACACTTCACTCCTCCTCCAGGACCATCCCAGCGCACACTGATTCTTCTTGTCTTGAAATACCAACAGGGACTGTCCCGTTTCTAAGCTCCTTAGCACACCTTACATCTCTAAGTGTTTCATTCATTTACGAACACTCATTAAGCAGAAACGGTGACCTCCCCCCAACCTTTTAAATTCTCTTTGCCCAGTTTCACAAACTGGTCCCACCCTTTGCTCTACAGTATTGAACTCACCACTTTTTCTCCAAAATATATATTTTTTCATGCTTCCATGCCTTTTCTCATGCTTTTTCCTCTGTATCAATGCCTTTACTTATCTTGTCAGGCTGGAAATCTCCTAGTGGCCTTGAGGACCCATATCAAATGTCCCTTCCAGGTGATTCCCTGATCTCCCCAAGCTGGCTCAAGTACTTTTTCCTGCACTCTTATAGCCCCTGAGCTTCCTGCCGTCATGGCATTGACCACAACGGATGTGACTGTCAGTTACTTGTCAGTTTCTCACATTAGAGAGTGAGTTCTGTGAGGGTAGGACCTAGATGGGACCAGCAGATGAGCAGTCAGTCAGTAGTCTCTATTGAAAAAAATGGGTCCTAACTTGGGCGCTGCTCCTTGCCAGCTGGGGGACCATGCAGGTCCCCCGCTGGGCCTCAGTATCCCCTCTCTCAAATTGAATGGCTATGGCCCAGACCCAAGAGATGCTAGGTAGGTATGGGAAGTCCTGCCATGGGAAGGCCCACCTGAAGTGTACGTAGCAGAAGAAGCCTGCAGTCTGGATGAGGAGGAAGAACAGGAAGATTCCAGGCTGCAGGCGTGAGGAAACCCCTGCGGGCCGACCAGGTGGGCAGGAGTCCTTGGCTGCCGCTTTCTGAAAGGAGATGTTCTAAGATCCTGGATCAGCTTCTTACCCAGAAGGAGGGAGGGGACCTAGAATCTGGGCCACTGTTGGCTTTGTTTCCCTCTTCCAGTGTTGGGGTATCCTGACTCTCATCCAGGGAACTTGGAGAGAGGGCAGAGTACAAAGGTGCCTCCCCACCCCAGATCCCATGGCTCCATCTGTGGGAACAGCTGGGAGGGCCTGGGGCCTGGGATCTCCAGGGGGCCGAAGTCTCTAGTGATAAACGAGAGAGAGAAGTAGAGAGCAAAAGGCAGAGTGATGGAGAGGCCAAGGAAAAGAGCAAGATGGGGCGGGGCCCAAGGAAGAGTGGACTTCACCACGAAGCTTTGAATGATCTTGGGCACAGCCCGTTCCCGTTTATCTTCTGGTCATTGTGGGAGCTGGGCCAAGCGGTCTCCAGCGCCCTGTTGGTGCTGAGAGTTTGTGGGACTCTCCAGAGAGCAGAGAAGGCAGAGAGAAGATGAGATCTGTGTGCCTGCATGCCTGTGTGCATGCACACACAGACACAGACACAGGTGTGCCTGACAGGAGTCCCAGGAGGGGAGGGCAAAGGCAGGAGGCACCTGGGGCTGCAGAAGTGCTGGAAGAAGGGGGCTGAGCCCCACGGCCCCCCCTTCCTTGCCCCTCACCAGTGGACCCCGCAGGTCCTTCTGCAGAAGGCGCAGGATCTGGGCCAGCTCTAAGAAATGATGCTTGGTGCCCACAGGCAGATAGAAGACCTGGGCTCTTGAGACCATGTGAGCAGCTGCATCCCTGGTGCAGGGTGGAAACCAAGGGAAA